GTGTGCTGCAGTTTGAGCGTGTAAGCCTGGGTTGGAAGTGTTTGCATGTGGCAGGCATACAGACAGCCTGAAATGAATTTGCCCGTGTGAACTTTGTACCCTACGTCGCGACTCGCTCAGCCATGTAGGAGGCAAAAAATAATCTTCGAACACCGATCCCATCGCTAAGTGAGGAGCTTTCTCGCCCTCCAACACGTTGAGTGAGCATTGGAACATATCGGCTCGTATACACCCTCGCAAGCCGCTGCGCGCCATGCCGCGAAGAGCCCCGACGCGCTTTCCCTCTCCGAGTTGCGAGAGCGTAAAGTCCGAGGGCCGCCCGCCAATCCGCGACTCTCTCCACGACAAGTCCCAAAACGCTTTCCCCGAAGGTACGGCGCCCGAGCGACACTCGCGCGACTCGCGAACGATTCGTGGATGCTTCGTGGACGCTTCGCGAACGCTTCGAGGTCAGAAACGCGTGGCTTTTTGTGACCTTGCATGAGAGGCTCTCCGACATACCGTGAATTCGATCTGCCTTAGGTCTACAATACAGACCGACAGTCTACGTACTTCATGAACAGGGCTGTGTTGCGAGCGGCATGCATGCGTTCTGCGGGCCTGGCTCAATTTCGTTTGTCGATTCATGCTGCTACAAAAAGTCCTAGGCTTATGTATTACATATACGCTTGCCTACCCTTGCATACTACCATCAGTGGCTTCTATCATTGTTCAGGATTGGATACAGGATGATACAGACCCGAGACATATCCACCATGGCCGTTTGGGATACCAAGCACGCGCTGCCAGTCGGTTGTGAGCTGTTCTTCGCTGCCACCATCCTTTCAATGCACTTGGTGCTGCAACCAATGCGGCTGTGCACGAAGGGCATCACCCCACGGCCGCACTGAGCCCCTGTGCATGGAGAAACCTTCCAAAACAGTCTCTGTAGTGTGAAACCTCCTGAAGCAGCCTTTGCAACTTCATGGCACCGCACAGGCTCCTGCGTGGCTGTGGCATCGCAGTTGGACGGAGCTCGATCAAGCGCCCTTCGCTCAGGGCCGTCCGACCCCTGCTCTCCGCGATGAGAGATCTATTCTCTTGTCTTCTAGCCAGCTCTAGCTGGTCGTGACAGCTACCGGTCGACCTTGTGTCAGGCGTGTGCTGGTAGCTGCAGGTATCAGCTTCGAGAGGGCTCGAAACGAGGTTGGGAGTCAGCTCCGCGAATCGGATTTGCCGAAGCTGCGAATCGTGGCAGGCCCTGCCGGAGATGCGATTGTGGAGGGTTTTGCGGATTTGGGGTTCAGATTTTCAAGCCCTAGCTGATTTGATTGGTGGCTGCACAGATCTCCTTGTCTGGTCCTTTTCACACAATCTCAGAAACCAAAGCGCATGAGCCGCTATGTGGGTGGACCCAGGCATGCTACCGAGAATCTGCGAGTGCCGAGCTGCCGCTTGGATTTCGGCTGCCACTTGGTTTCCCTTGCTTCTGGCGAAGGTGCCCCCAAAGTCATCGGAGCAGGGCTGTCCGACACTGCATGATGCAATGCCATATTTTCGGTGGAGCGACGTCCTGAAGATGAGCAACAAAAATGTGCCGACTCAGCTGCATGAAAGTCCGCGAAGGGTTTGTGCAGGCATCGTGCCACCTTAGCGCTGCCTTGCGAATCCTTGCGACTGTGCCTACTCCCTGCTTGTCGAAGTCGCAGCGCCAGGCCTTTGAAATCAATTTGCTGCCGTGCTGCAGTGCATCCACTTGCAACCCCCACCTGGCCTTGAGAGAGGTTCCCCGAAATCGCCGAAGCCTCGTGCACCAAACCAAGAACCCCTCGTGCCGCTGTCGGAACCCTTCATTCGGGCAGTGGCGACACTAGCAAGGTCTCCACCAGCATGCGCTCACGACTTGCTCCTGGCCACCAAAATAGAAAGGTGTCTGATCTTGCCGGAGCTTGGAACGTCCTGACGACACTGCAGCAGCTGCCGCTGGATGAAACCTCGGCACCTTGGCAGGACAAGCTGAAGGATCACGCAAGGGGAAAGGAAGACAAGGGCAAAGCCTGCAGCCACTGCTGCTGCTCGCGCCGCCTTGCCAGTACAGAGTCGCAGCCAAGAACCCACCTCCCTCGTACTGTACAGAATGGGGAGGCTGCTCCAAAAGCTGATCATCCTTTCAGTCTTCCGTCATTGACAGGCTTGTTGACCCGTCTATGCAACACGTTCTCGCCACGAACTCCTAGGTATGCCTGTATGCCTCCCCCACTCAACCCAGCCACGCATACATACAGGCTGGCTTGCAGAAGTCACTTCAATGTGCCCGGGCAAATGTCCGAAACACCAGAATGCGCACTTGGGACCCGACAACTCCGACTCTGCTCTATCTCTTGCTTTGAGCTCCAA